TTTCTACACCTATCTTTTTGCAGCTTATTGATTCATTATAGTTTCATTTATGTGTGTTTTGTAGTATCCAATTATTGTGTATATAGTATAACTAAAATAACTAATAAGCATTAAAGCAGAGCAAACGAACCTAGGAAAAATAATAAATCAAAGTGCATTTATATATTGACAAGTGACAACCTATGGTCATACTTGCAGAAATCTCGTAAATTACACGGTAGTTTGAAAACGTATACAAAACAATATTATTTATGGACTTTTTCTAATGCCCTGTTGCAGTTGTCTCATGTCCTTGTCGTATCTGGTATATGTGAGTGTTCGCCAAACACTGCTTATTAGTGAATATTTTCCCAAGAATGTAACATTTAAAACACGCGAAATCTTTTCGAAATTCGGAAACCCGAAACCCCATACATCTGCCCATTAACCGTGACCAGATGTGCTCTAACACGGAACCCCACAACCCAGTTTAATAACGCTCAAAAGGCACGACGGTCATTATTCTCTTGAAATAGTATTAATTTTACTTTTTTCTTAAAATGACTATCAAATCCATTATCCAATCTAAAATATATTTTATAACTACACATTACATAAACAACTTATTATATATATATTATTATATGATTTATCATCTATATATTTACTTCAGAAAATACATTATATCAATTACCTATGTCATATTACTCGTATGTGATATATTTATACTACATGAGATTTAACTATAAATAGTGTTTAATGTTTCAACATAAAATTAATTACTTTTTTAAACTTTTTCAATTTTTTCAAAAAAGTTTTTAATGAGTACTGAATGAATTAAAAATATTTGCTTGAATTGTGACTATATCAAAATTAGTTAATCAAATACTGTAGGTAACACTTGAATTCAACACGACGAATGCTATACGCCTAATGAATAATAAACTGGAACTTATTGTAACTTGAACCGTTATACCCACCTACTGAGTATCCTAGATATTTCATTAATGTTTCTATATTATATTATTAATTTTAAATTAATTCATGTTTATTTAAATTATTTATCATATTCTATTACAACTCTAGTACTCTAAATTCATGACAAGATGTTCTCAATAAACTATAAGTGTACAATTTTTGAGTACCTAATATACTTTGTTCCATATTGCAATAAAACAGTTTACCCCTTCCATCTTGTTGTTATATTTTTTGCACGTACTTTTTGCAATTTGGCTAGTCGTTGACCTCGACCACTCGAAATTAATTCACACAGCCTGTCCCTACGGTGTACACCATTGAAGAGGTCAAAACTCGAAGTTGCCAGCTCCCTCGTATTTATTTTTAATTTTGATGGACGAAAAATAATCATTGAGTATATAACAGGAAAATACATGATTATAGTCTTTGAATAAGTAACCAAGAACAACATTATATTCAAATTATTCAGTGTTGGGATAGGACACTCATTGTACGGAGTAGGAACTAGGAAGATACCTATAGGGTATGATTGTATAAATAATGATAACATAATAATGACTATGGTTAGTTTTTACAGGTTCTTTGAATTCCTACAACATTTAAAATTTTAAACAATATTTTGTATTCCTAATGTAACTGCTATAATAATATAAGGTGTAATTCATCAAAAGCGTACGTATAATATTATAATATTGTAGTAGTCACAGTTTTGACAGGAGATTAAATATAATCAACCGGAAATGGAAGTATTGTTAATGAGAACCAGACGCCTTACCTAAACCATTAAAAGAAATTCACTGACTCCACAAAAAAAATTTGCATCTGCTTCAGAATAATAATGAATACACCGGCATACAATGAATCAACTAGAATTATACGAGGCATGGGTCTATATTTTTGTGAATATAGTTGTTAAATGTTATAGTTTTAATTAATTTAAATTTATAGATACCCATACTAATATCAAACTTGTTAAAAATATTTTTTCCATTTTTCAAATAGGCAATCGTATATTAATTATTTAAATTATCAATAGTCATGATGGAACACTATTCATATTAACGCCAAAACATATGTGACAAATTAATTGTGAATAATATTTAAATGACAACTACATACTTAACAAACGGATTATATGATAATAATGTGCATAAAAACAATAACATTTTTGTAATTATTCATAGAGGCTTACTTATTAAATATTATCATATTATATGTTCTAACATATTTCCCCCCAGCGTTTAATGTTAAAATAATATTACAGACGTTAAATATTCAAATTTTCTTATGAAAGCGTTGGTAAATACATCATATTACACTAGAATTTTATAACAAAAAAACTACCATTCACATATTATTATCATAGAAATACCGTTAATATAAGAAACAGAATAAAACGAGAGCAATGACCTCGTTTCGGGATCTCACTGTTTAATTTACATAACACGTGTTAATCAACCACTATTGTAATGTCCATAGATGATTTTCAATATACGTAGGTATACCAAATTCAATTTAAACATGTTAAATCATTTGCAAAACAATATTGCAATACGCTTTTACCATCAAATCAAACAATTCACTCATACACAAATCCTAACCAAAAATGTTCATTTCTATAGGTATTTAATGCATTATGCAAGTATAAACATATTGTCATTTTATGCTAATGTAATCGTGTGATAATCAAACATAAGATCAATCTTTAGATCATATAAAAAAAAATTCGATAATATTGTATGACAATTAATAATTGCATCATTTGTCAGCTATATTTCATTGAACAACTAAATACTAGATACGTAAATAACAATTAAATCAATGGAAAAATCTGCAATTTTACTGCACTAAACTGGTTTAATTCCATTAATTTTCAGTATGTATCGTACATTAGTCTGATATTTGATTTTTTAAAGTCATACAAATTTAAAAGCAATAAGTTACAATTTAAATAAAATTAATAAAATACTAAAGGTAAAACATGACATCTATATCACTGTTTAAAAATTTAAAAATTAGTTTAAAAAAATTATCAATTACGCCGTTTGTTATGATTATACATATAAAAACCTAGGTACATGAAAATACTACGTTAACAATGAGTATAATTGCAAACACGAAGAAAAAATGAATGAGTGAATAAATGAGTATAATCAAAAATTAAAAATCGAAAAGAACAAATTAAATATAATATAATTTATTTCATGGTCAATAAAAAGCATTCAACGGTTAATATTTGAAATTAAATTTCATTAAAAAAAAAATAGTGCAATGAATTATACTTCAACACTGACACGCTAAAAATAAATGTTTACAAACAAGCTTACAATTTGTATGTAGGTATTACTCTGATTGGTTCCTATTGTATAGTTTTGATTTATTATCATTTACCACATTCTAATAAAAAAAGTCTAAATACATTAAAAATAATATTATATTGAATTCTTAAAATTACTTCCTAAAGACACAGTTTCAAGAAATTATGCTTTATAAAATATATATGGTACCTATATATTATATTATCTCACATTCTAATGTTATTACTATAACACCACATTTCAACGTAGAGAAGACCCTAAAACGCTATCCCATCCCAGTTCAACTTGATGTGTAAAAATATTGTTTTGTATCCCTGCTATAGTCGAAGCCTGCAGAATAATACAAGGGTAATTTCTTTTGAAATCCATATTACACAACCCCTAAACAAAAAAATATGACGGTTAAACTAATGACTACTGTGTTGTGATAGTGAAATACCGTTTTATCAAAATGATTGTTCGCCTTAGGATTACCTACTTATTTTTTTTAGTAATTTGATGGCACACGACAACATAATATATTACAGGGATAGTTTTTACACTGCACTATCAGACCAGTAGCATTTTTGGATCTTTTCTTTCCTTTTATTATTTTTTTTTTATCCTTCACCTGGTTTTTTTCATTTTGGCAGTTCATCAAAATATCATCGCTACAATGAAGAAACTTGAACGGCATTATTATTGTTATTATATTGTGTTAGATATATATACCTACGTCCGGATTTTATTTTTACCTCTCACTCTTTCACTCTCTCTCTACCTACAAGCATCATCAAAAGAAAAACATCTGGTACACGTCGCATTGTTGTGGATTTTTGCACTACCTGCAGATCACGTACGTTAGCTTAAAACTCGTGAGCGAACGTGCCCCTCACGGATAACGTCGCTGGTGGCCCCCTGTAGCCCTCCGTAATAGTTAAAATGGGGGGAGGGGACGATCGTAGGTTGGATACAGTTCGAGTCGGTCCGGTCGTGTTGACCTTTCGCAATAGACATACGAATACTCGAAATTTATCTAAGCCCAAATACCCAAAATATACGGCTGACCTAATCCAGAGTTCCTAATACTTATAATATTTTTTTTGGTTGCAAGGGTTATTGAAGTGCAAAATCGAGCATGAACCAGTTTTTATGCTACCAACTGTTTGAACAACTGATTTTATTGAAATATATTACCTACGTTTTAACAAAATATCTTATAATTATTATGATCTAATCGTCAAGAAAATATAAAGAAATTATTTTCGTCAATTAAAAGCGTTAACCGTCATATTTATTTTATAATCATTTAAATAAAATAAAAAGTCTAAATCTACGTACGTTGTGCTCACTCATCGTTATAATAACGTATAGTATTCAACAGTTATTCGTGAATCGAAAATTAGGAATTATACTATTGCTACTATTTTATCGCAATATAATTTACCTACAACTTGCTATTAATATAAATATTGTTTAAAAGTCTTCAATTTTAAGTATCCAGTTATTAGAGTTGTACAGAAAAATATAATTAAAAATCGATTAAATACCTATTATTAAATAATTGTACACATACCAATTATTAAATTACACTTCAATTAGTTATTCAATCAATCATTTTTTCTCGTAACATCTTAATTTACTTTTAAATTTGATCAATAGTTACACTAATTTAATTAACTTGTGACAATAGAAAGCAAATAGTATTGATTAAACTACTACGACAAAAATAATATTAATACTTACAGTTAAAATTGAGTTAACGAAGAGGTATCCAGGATTAAACTTGACCACCTGTACGGTATAGGACAAACTGATATATTATAAATTAAACAATTTAACACGGACCCGTGTTGAAATTGCCGAGTTCGGGGGGTTGTACTCGAAGGTGAAACAAAAATCTCTGGTTGGTCGGTCAGTCTGTGGTTACTGTCACTGTCAAAATAAAAACTCCACCAAACGCTCCCACTCTCTTTAAACCCGAACCGATCACCGTCCCTTCCACCGGTGAACAAACTGTGTTTTTTCCATTTTTTTACCCTTCGGGATTGCAGGTAAAAAAAAAGTAATAAACAATATATACCTATATAAAATACGTATTAGTAACAATATGAAAAAAAAAACAACAAAACACAAAAAAAAATATAGAAGAGAGTATAGATGGAAAAAACCCGACAACTATAGGAGGGGGCAAACACATACACACACACACACCAATCGTTTGACGCATTTAATAATGTACACGTTCCTTGGATAGGTATTGGATTATTATATGCATTCAGGATTTTATCTGTTCGCGTGCCTGTGTGATCGATGGGATATCATAAAATGTGCGTTACCGTAGATCATTTTTAAACTGAATACATTTATAGCGATAAAATTTTTTTTGTTTGTGCGAACATTTTTTCTTTTTTCATTTTGCATACGTTTTGCACACTAAATGACGCACATTTTTAGCGAGTTGTAAGAACCTAGTAATTTAAATGCATAGCAAAACAAATCAAAGTAATATACATATCTTTTAATACATTGTTCACGACGATACAAATCGTCATAATATATTGTGTTATCCGCTCTAATGATTTAATGCCCAATTATATAGGCACGGTGCGTACAACGAAACTACTTTAATTATATGGATTTCAACATTGTTATATTTTATACCTACAAATTAAGAATTAAATCTATTACTACGTTGTCACACACGCACATGCGGTGAGTAAACATGTATTTAATTACATAAGTTTATAGCTAAATTAATTATATCTATAAAACTAATTATATACATTTTGAACGAGTGTATTGTGTTGCTTCGCTAGAACGGCAGGTACTCAACAATTGTATCATGGATAAATAGTTTAAAAAGTATAAAACATTTACAAAGAATTCGGAGTAATATTATAAAGACATACCTTCTAAAACGAACAAGCAAAGTATATAGATGGTATTACCTATGGTAAGTGAATGAATAATTCGAGCTTACCTATTTAGGTAATTACAGAAATAATTACTTATTACAGAAATCATTTTACTTCACTGACTTGAACTACACTAAACTAGTAAACTGACTAGTTGACTAGTGACTAAACTAAAATATATAATATGACTGAATAGCAATTCAAATAATAATATATTATAATAAACTAGAGACAAAATCCTTCCAAAATTAAAATTACGTTCAAATAATTTACAATATAGTAATATACACTTACAGTAAGAGTGGTAGAATTATTTACACAAGCCCGCATTACTGCGATCCCGCATAATACCTACGCGGTTTGGTTTCTGGCAGTCCTTCACATAATATTCCTTTATTTGAACAATGGTTATAGGTACGACATGATATTATACAAATGCATAATAATTGTATCTTTGTAATTAAATGTTGTCATGGAATATTTTTGTCCGGCATATTTTTGCACGATTATTACTTGTTAATTGTTATCGCAACTTTTATAATAAAGGTTAACATTATTTTTGTATTACATTTACGCGGGATATTTTTTCATGGAGTAATAACATTTTGTGGAGGTATTTTGGTTTTGTCGGCGATATTTTGACGTGTCACACTGTCACCTCAGTAAATAATAAATATATCACTACTGTGATATTATATTACAATGTATTTTGAAGATTTGCTTTTTCAATGAATTCAATGGTAGCTGCAAGTGAAGATGTGTTGTCGTGTTGTGGTCATGGGATTTCTGATAACTGTACGTTTTGCGATAATTTTGTAATCTGCATATTATGTACTGTATTCTGTCATTATGTGTGATCGAAAGATGGGCATATGTAAATGTAATTTTTATTCATTAGATTGGTTGTGAGAAATTTGGGTGTTTCCACGTTTAAGTGATACGGAACCGAGGTGCCGGAGTCTTGTTAGTCGTCAGTATAAACTCCGAACTACCTGGTAGCGATAAGTCTATTTTAAATTAGATAGCCAGATAGGTCATAGGTACATACTATCAATATATTATAACAAACTGCCGTTATCAGAGATGTTTTATTTTAGAACTATATTTGAATAGTATATTATTATAGTTGAAAATTTCGTCGAATTCCAAAACAAGTCCACGCCTATTTCATTTCTATACGCCAAAAAAAATTCTAGGTATATTTGTCATCAGAAAAACTACAAAATATGTTTTAATTTAATACTAATTTTTCTTTAATTTAATTTATTTGTACTCATTTATTTTGATTAATTATATTTTTTGTATTAATGAAAATACAAGTAACAAATATTTATGTTGTTTATTGTTTTGAAACAACTAATAATATTCATGACCAGTAAATAAGCTATGATTACAATAAAGTTTTTCTAATTAATTTCAAAACCATACAAATGTTTTGTAAAAATGACCGTGTGTACTAGTGCTGAGCACCAAATCCGGATCAATCCATATCCGGATTACCGATCCGGATTGAAACAAAAGCAACAATCCGTTTACTCCTGATTAAAATACTCAATCCGGATTATGATATAAATCCGGTTTATTATATAAAAATTAAATTTAAAATTTAACTGAATATAAATAACACTAATATAAACATTTGATGAAAATTTCTTAGGGTACATACAACATACTACATATTATTTTTGCTTTTTTTTATTTCATTAGGTACTATTTTTTTTTTTTAATTTTGTTACAAGTTGTAGGATACAACTTTGAAGTTGGGTTTGGGACCACCAAATAATATTGATTAAAAACCCATGTTACATATTATCTATATTACAAGATGAGACGTACATATACTTTTTAAAAATAACTATTGAAAAATGAAAAAAAATATTAATTGATTAGAAAAATCAATAAAATAAACTTAAATACCTTTGACTTTTTATTTCAAAACTACATGGCGTTATACTTGGCTATGAATCGCATACATATACGCACATAAAAATTCCTTTTTTATTAATAAAAATAGTAAATTCTAAATGCCAACTTACTACTTTCTGAATCCTAGCTCCTACTGCATAGGTAGTAGTAATAATAAATTGTGAAAAACTTGAAACCCTGGTGTATTTGCTATTAGGGGTCTTAGAACATTGAGTCGATTTTCCATAGATCTGAGATCGTAATTCGTATTATTTAGGTTGATAACAATGAAAAAATAGCTGAATATCACAAAAACAATGAAGCCGGATTGGATCCGAAATCCGAATCCAACGGATTGGATCCGTGAATCCGGATAAAACGGATTGATCCGAAATTCGGATTAAATAATTGTAATCCGTAATCCGGATTGATCAAAATAATGCTCTGCACTAGTGTGTACTCAATATGGTTAACCCTCATATTATATTATCGTCGTTTTACAAACGTACAATATATCAAATTTTCGATTATTGTTAGCTTTATTATTAGAGTGAATCGACCTATATCATTGAACTTACAAGTAAGAATACTATATATGGTTAGTGCATTCGGTTTTTTAAGTTATTAAAATCTGTATGTGAATTATGAAAATGTTTATATTGTATCTAATAATTTAATATCTTAAATCCTTGTATGACTCACCAAAAATGTATACATCGTAAAATTGAAGCTAACTTAATAACGGTTACAACACAAACATGTGTGGCTAGTGGACTCCTAGTCCTAAGTGATTTTTGCTTTACTCCCTCAAAATAAAAGAACGTGTTCCTAAAGCTTATACTATACCAAATTTTACCATAACATTACTTATTAGCCATTAGGTATTTTATTGTGAAAGTATTATAATAAATTAAATAGGATTATATTCAGATAAAATGAATGTAATGACTGACGAATAATACGAATCTGACATTTGTGCATTTCATTCGATGTAACGTTATGACTTCACGAGTATCTAAATGAAATCGAAATTCAAAATGAATTATTAACATTGATCAGGAAACCAAATGCAAAACTATAATTTTGCATAAATCGATATTTCGTAACTTCATTCAAATTTATAAAATATCTTGATCTCATATTCATTGTGATTTAAACAGAGATATAAAAACGCTGTGTTCTCTTGTGCAACACGTTTTTTTTTTTATTTTATGTACAAGAAAATAACATTAGTTTATTTCGAATTCAACATGGAAAAATTCAAGCTGTTAAAACTACATTCATATAAGTATATAACGGATTACGGAACATTATTATAGTCTCATTTAAAGTAGTACAATTTATTGAAATATTATACACTTCGTCCTACTACCAAATGTCCAATACTTCAGCAGTACGGCTCAATTCACAATTGTCCCACAGAATAATTCTGTGATTGTACTTCCTAGTTCCTATTATATGATATATTATATTATTAATTAATAAAATACATACAAAATACAAACTGAGTATGGAATTTCGTTATTCACTTTCATTGTATTTTAATAAAACAAATTGATTTGTTATAATTAATATGCAATAATAATAACGTTTACTAGCGGCTTCTATAATAAAAAAAATAACGTTATTCTTCTGACACTTGGCCAAAAGATAAGAACTAATAATAAACAATTTAAAAGATTAGGTATTTGCTATTTAGCTGATATCCGTATAGGTGCTTCCTGTTATCCTGTATAATATGAATATTATATTTATATGTCAAGTAAAGTGATTTTTTAATTTTATATTATATTATAATGTCCATAGTGAGGTTTTTGTACTTTTCTATGGACTATGGTTAACCTTACTATTAAAACATAAATCGTAAAATATGTGCATATCACCAATTTAGCCACACGAGTGAGGTTAGGTTAGTTAGGTTAAGTAAATTATAAGCTAACAAAAATCGTTAAAAATTAATTTGATTTGTAATTTTCTCATTTTAAAACTTTTCTAGGTATGAATAATTATAATTTGTTTTGCATTTTAGTAGTCAACCAAAAATTATAAAAAATACACTTAGACTATATAATAATTTTGCCGATAGTATATTCAAATTATATATTATATTATTATACGGGTCTGTCAATTTTTAAAGGGAGACTATAGCGACATTAGCGTCATTAGGTACGGTCAGGCAAGCATAATATAATATAACT